TGGACATTGGAGGCTTCCCCCCAAACCTCGATGAGGTCCACGATCTCCGCACTTGACCAGGCGGGCGCCCGCCTTTTGCGCCCCCGGGCAGGCTCCCGGGAGCCGCCAGGCTGGTCGTGGGGAGCAGTGGAGGGCTGGGAGCCTTCGAATGGCTGGCTCATAGTGTGGCAGGTGCAGGCTGTGCAGGCACGGGTGCTTGCAGCCTTGCAACTGGCACAAAGTGTGTAGCCAGCCCGTGGCCCTTTAAGGGCTCCGGGGCCGGGAGGGGGGCAATAGAGTTTCCCTGGTGTTGGCCAGAGTGGCCACCAGGGAAACCTGGGAAGCCTTAGCCTCCCACTAGTTCGAATTAAGGGTCTACACAGCCCTTAATTCGAACTAGCTAGTTCAAACTAGGCTTAATCCTCGTAAAATGAGGTTTACCTAGTTCGAACTAAGCGCTCCGTTAGTTCGAATTAAGTTCGAACTAACGGAGCGCTAGTGTAGCGCCTAGGAAAGTTAGTTCGAACTAACGGACATTAGTTCGAACTAACTTTGCAGTGTAGACATACCCTTAGATACAAGATATAATGAATTTTTTTGTTGTAAAACATTAAGTATTTAACTAGTGTAAATACACCAAAGTCAATTAGGGTAAACACATTAGTTCTATGATAGTTTCTAGAGCCTGAAATGGAAGTTATGAATTGGGGACAGAGGCCTAATAGTCCTAATTGTCTCTGATTATTAATCTGTTTAAGATAAGATTGCTTTTTTTAAAGGTTGTACAGATAGTTATTATCGTATAGAATTAAATTTGGTTAAGAAAATAATATATGTTCTTTATGATTTTAGGCTGACAATGAAAAGGCCCCAGTCCACAAATAAAAGGCTTTTGGAATGATTAGTCAGAAGACTGGAATGTAATAGGGGAAGCATGTATGGTTACAAACGTAACTATAAAATAAAGAGAGATAATACCAAGAGGAAAAAAAACCCTAAGGTATCTTAAAAGAAAAAACACAAATCTTTTCATTGTTCCTCTTATCTTAATTTAAAGCAAGGTAAGAATTTGATTGTGCCAGAACAATGGGATGTGCCTAGAATTCAATTGTTTCTCATAAAATGAAAAGGGAGGAGTCTGGAATGACCACAGTGGAGGCAGCCAACTCCTAAGCAAGAAGCTGCTGGCCAACAGCTCCTGACACCCTGGCCTGGCTTGGGAAGCAGCTGCCAGCCACTGCGCAGCCTCCAGAGCCTTTGGGCTTGCCCCGGGGCTTCCTCCATCCCAGTTCGGTCCTGGGGAGCATTAGTAGGAGGCCTGTGCAGACCCCTCCTCTGCTCCTGCACTGGGAGTGCTGTCAGGCAGCCTCCGTGTCTTCCCCCCACTTATTCAGCCCCTGGTGCTGTGCTGCTGCGGATGGTTGATGTTCTCTGTAGCTCCAGCCCTAGCATTGCTGTGGGGCCCCAGCTAAGCTGCTGGCCCTCCTGCTATTAGGCTCCTGGGCTCTCCTGCCAGACCAGAGAGTGCCTGCACACCTTTTACCTTGAACATTTCTTAAATAATTGTCTTTGTTTCAAAATGTTTTCTTCAAGGATAACATAATGAAATGTTGATCTTATATGGAAGAAAACTACAACCGGATGCATAGGTACAGGAAGGGAAGCTTTTCACCTTGGAACCTGGTCATTTTTGTCACCGTGAACTGGCTTAAATCCATATTTTCAGGCTGTCCAGCAATGTAGCAGGAGTAACTAGACATAGGAAATGTTACCTGCACACCATTGGTGGAGGATGGGATCAGCTGCAAGGAGGTTTATAAATTGCCCCCTATTTATTTTCCACCTTCATTTTTTTGCTCCATTTCGTGTCAGTGTGGAAACTTTGACACCATAGAAAGTAGGAATATGATAGTGTAAATGTGTAAATGCCACACAGGAAGTCAGCTTTTAGGATAGCTCCCCAGAAGCACTGGCTCCCATGGAGCCGCCACCCCTACTATCCGCACTGGGGACAGATAACAGAGGCAGCAGGCAAGCCAGTTTTAGGTCAGTTCCCCGGAAGCACTGGCTCCCATGGAGCCACCCATACTACCTGCACTGGGGACAGATAACAGAGGCAGCAACATGGTGGAGGACGGGGGAGGTGGTTGTGCAGGAGCTGCTTCCTCCCTTGCATGTAAACGTGTAACTGCTGACGTTTTAAGCGGTTATACATTTACCTGAATAAACGATTTTTAACATTCCTATTAGAAAGTACTCATAGTTTACACACCTATCATGGATACTTACACACCTGCTGTGATAGTGAAGGCCCTGTATACTCTGTGGCTGTGTCTACATTGGCACCCTTTTCCGGAAAAGAGATGCTAATGAAACCAGTCAGAAATGCAAAAGCCCCAGGGATTTAAATTTTCCCCGCGGCATTTGCATGAACATGGCTGCCGCTTTTTTCCGGCTCGGGGCTTTGCCGGAAAAAAGCGCCAGTCTAGACAGGGATCTTGCGGAAAATAAACCCTTTTCCGGAAGATCTCTTATTCCTACTTAAAATCAGGAATTTGAAAAAAGACAAAGAAATCTGTTTGGCATATTTTAAAAGGTGAAGGCCCTTTATACTCTGTATGTGCTACTGTAGGATTGGTCCCTCTATTTGCTAAATTACTTCAGTAATAATGTATTCCTACAAAGCCTTACTCGCTATTAACAGAAGTATGACTTGAAGAATCACCAACCATTTTTGTATAAATATTCCACTGCATATTTCAACTATTTGTAGTGTCTCTGTTAGATTAACACCTCAAGACCCCAATCAAGAACCAGGGCCTCATTGTTCTAGGCAAGAGGGTCCTTTTCCCAAAGCACTAATTATGGACTTTTCTTTTTTCAGTTGGCTTAATCTATTTAAGTTGGTATTTGTTTGGGTTTGGCAGCTCTGAAATGTGGATTTAAATAGATGACAAAAGGAATTTACAGAATTTGAAAAAGACATAAAGAAATCTGTTTGGCATATTTTAAAATTTAGTATTAGAGCAGTGTTTCTCAAAGTGGTCTGCGGACCTACTCTGGAAAAGCTACTACCAGGCCACTCAGGTTTATTTACTTACTAGCTCCGCAGCCACAGAGCTTCATGGCTCCCATTGGCTGCAGTTGGCTGTTTGTAGCGAAAGGGAGCGGTGAGGCTCTGTGGCTGCGGAGCAGTAAGTAAACAAACCTGAGTGGCCTGGTTGCAGCTTTCTCAGAGTGGGTTCACGTTCATAGGCCACTTTGAGAAACACTGTATTGAAGGGAACTTGTGACTGCTTGGCTAATGTAATCGGGGTTTTTTTCTAATGCAGATACAGGTCTTTAGCCATATATAATTTACTAAAACATAAAACATCTGTATAACTCTAAGATCTTTCCTGTAGGAAGGGTTAGACTAGATGACCCTTGACATAACTTCTAACAGTTAGATTCTATATATGCTTTGATTCTTTTCAACAAAATAGGAAATATATAAAATAACTCTAAGATCTTTCCTGTAAGAAGGGTTAGACTAGATGAGCCTTGACATAACTTCTAACCGTTAGAATCTATATATGCTTTGATTCTTTTCAACAAAATAGGAAATATATAAAAGATATTGAAGAGTGTAAGTACAAATGAAAACAGAAGAAAAAATCTTACCTTAAACAAGACATAATGGAAAAGGTGATAGTTATAAAGTATGTTATGGAAAACAGGGAGATCACATCTTTAATATTGCCTTCAAACTCTTTCTGTCTGGATATTGAGGTAAAGTAAGCCACCTATAAAGAAAAAAATATAGCAGGTTAAATAACATTTTCTTTAGCCTTTTACTTTATAAATATAATTAAAATAAAAATATTATGGGTCTAGGATTCACACTGTTATTTTAGGCACTTTCATTGTAATATTTTAATTATTATTTTAGCTATAATGATCTACAGTAAGCCACAGCTAAAATAACATATTCAGAATAGAAAGAAATTAGCCCACAGGTAAGAATTAATTAAAATTAAGCATACGGCCCAAGAGAATATGAATGAACCTAAGGAGAGCATTTGGTTAAAACATAGTGGCTATGTCTAGACTGGCATGGGTAAGAATTAATTAAAATTAAGCATACGGCCCAAGAGAATATGAATGAACCTAAGGAGAGCATTTGGTTAAAACATAGTGGCTATGTCTAGACTGGCATGATTTTCCGGAAATGCTTTTAACGGAAAAGTTTTCCGTTAAAAGCATTTTTGGAAAAGAGTGTCTAGATTGGCACGGAAGCTTTTCCCCAAAAGCACTTTTTGCGGAAAAGCGTCCGTGGCCAATCTAGATGCCCTTTTCCGCAAAAAAGCCCCGATCGCCATTTTCGCGATCACGGCTTTTTTGCGCAAACCAAATCTCAGCTGTCTACACTGGCCCTTTTGCGCAAAAGTTTTGTGCAAAAGAGACTTTTGCCCAAACCGGAGCAGCATAATATTTCTGCAAAAAGCACTGATTTCAGACAGTAGGAAGTCAGTGTTCTTGCGGAAATTCAAGAGGCCAGTGTAGACATCTGGCAAGTTTTTCCGCAAAAGCAGCTGCTTATTGGCCGGTCTAGACACAGCCTCTGGGACTAGGCCTGCAGTCTATATTCAGGCAAAATTCCCATTGAGTCAGTGGTTGTTTTAATTTCCGGCTTTACACTCATTAGAAAGAAAAGAGCGATATAAAGCCTGTAAAATTTTCCATTTTGTTTCTCACAATGTGCAGGGAGATATTGTTCTGGGTCCAGTGGAACATCCTTGAACATACTGAAATGTAGAGAAGTATTAGGGGGCACAAGGAATGCAGGATCAGGTTAGCAGATGTAATGGTCGTTTCTTAGGTTATGTCTTTGTTAGCAGTAAGAATTAATTAAAATTAAGCATACAGCCCAAAATAATATGAATGAACCTAAGGAGAGCATTTGGTTAAAACATAGTGGCTATGTCTAGACTGGCCAGTTTTTCCACAAAAGCAGCTGCTTTTGTGGAAAAGTGTCCGTGCCAATCTAGACGCTCTATTCCAAAAATGCTTTTAATGGAAAACTTTTCCGTTAAAAGCATTTTTGGAATAGAGCGTCTAGATTGGCACGGCAGCTTTTCCGCAAAAGCAGCTGCTTTTGTGGAAAAGTGTCCGTGCCAATCTAGACGCTCTATTCCAAAAATGCTTTTAATGGAAAACTTTTCCGTTAAAAGCATTTTTGGAATAGAGCGTCTAGATTGGCACGGCAGCTTTTCCGCAAAAGCAGCTGCTTTTGTGGAAAAATTGGCCAGTCTAGACACAGCCTCTGGGACTAGGCCTGCAGTCTATATTCAGGCAAAATTCCCATTGAGTCAGTGGTTGTTTTAATTTCCGGCTTTACACTCATTAGAAAGAAAAGAGCGATATAAAGCCTGTAAAATTTTCCATTTTGTTTCTCACAATGTGTAGGGAGACATTGTTCTGGGTCCAATGGAACATCCTTGAACATTACCGAACTGTAGAGAAGTATTAGGGGGCACAAGGAATGCAGGATTAGGTTAGCAGATGTAATGGTAGCTTCTTAGGCTATGTCTTTGTTAGCTTCTTAAGGATAAAAAATATGACTGGACTGATCTCTTCCTCACAGATAGAACAGGTCACAAGGGTCCATCCTCACTGGGTCCCAGAGCTGGGGCTCCGGTCCCAGAGCTGGGGCTCCGGCCCCAGCCCAAATCTCTGCCTAGGGATAGAGTAGTCAAATAGTCGACTACCTGATAAGCGTAGGCTACTCGCATTTCTCCTCCCTCCCCACCTTGCAGCCTCTGTTACATTTTGATTAATCAGCTAATTGAATCATTGATGGAATTTCCATCGACTACTCAATTAGTTGATAAAGGTAGGGAGGGTCCCAACTCCTGTGCCTCTGCCTTTTAAAAGTAAAAAGAGCTGCCTGCCTCTTACTACATTTAAAAGGCAGAGACACAGCAGGGAATCCAGTGTAAGCAGGGACTGCTGTATTAGAGGCAGCAAGAGGGTGTCACAGGGCTGGCCTTACCATGAGACAAACTGAGGCATGAACAGAGCTGGCCTTACCATGAGACAAACTGAGGCAGCTGCCTCGGGTGCCAGACTGTGTGGGTGGGTATTCTCTCTGCTCTAGATGCACAGAGATGGTGGAGTGCTGTGCTGGAGGAAGGAGGGCACAAGAAACATAACAGACAGGCAGGAGAAAAGGTGGAATGGGGGCGTTATTTGAGCTCCCCACCTCAGGTGCCAAAATGTTGTGGGCCGGCCCTGGGGTGGAAGCAGGAGTCGGTGCTGGGGGGAGCCAGCTTAAAAGCCGGTTCCCTCAGCACTGTCTCCGCAGTGCATGATAGGGGTGAGAGGAGGCAGAGGCATGGAGTGGAACCTGGCGTCAGTAGGGACAGCTTCAGTCTCCAATTGCCCCAGGTCCTGACTGCTACAGTTCTGCCTTTTAAATGTAGTAAGAGCCTTCCTACATTTAAAAGACAGAGGCACAGCAATCGCACTGAAGCTGTCCCCACTCACGCCATGCTGCACCATATTGCACCTCTGCCTTTTAAATGTAGACATTTAATAGGCAAAGGCACAGCAATCAGGACCCAGAGCTTTCCCACTGTGCCTCTCCCCCTTATTGACTACTTGATTAGCTGATTAACAGAAATTTAACACCCCTACCTCTGCTATGGCAATAGTTCATTCACAGTTCCATGCTGGACTGAATCAACTGGCTTTTAGAAACAACAGTTCAGGTTGTGCCTGCTCCACTGTTCCAAGGGCCTTATCCTGCCAGCTAAGCACACTCAGTTTCTCTGGCCTCAGTGAGAACTGAAGCTGCTTAGCATGTTTCAGGAGAAAGCCTTAAATGACAGGATTGAGAGAAGAAGGCAGCATCTCTCCTCACCAAGAACCTCACAATGTCAGGAGCCTGATCCTACATTTCTTGAAGTTTTTCGGAAAAACTCCCTTCAACTTCAGTAGGAGTCATAAGTATTGGAACTAGAGATGCTAGGGAAACTACTGCATCTGCTGGCTTGAAATGGCTTCCATCATACACAGCACCCCTATTATACAAATTGTTCCAGCACCTCAAGTGTTAAGTACGTTAGGTCTAGGTCGGGGTGGGTAATAAGTGGCCTGTGTAGGGCTGGCCTTAGGGAAAATGGCACCCTGGGCGAACTTGTATGTTGGCACCCATGTGGCATAGTGCCCCCCCATTTCCCTTCGCCCCTTACGCTCCCCAGCCTCTGCCCCCCTCTTGTACTCCTTTTGCCATTAATCCAGGGATGGGCAATAATTTTCACAGAAGGCCTCTTCATTAATTTTGGTACGTGGTCTTGGGCCGGCTCCAGGCACCTCCAGAAGGGACAAGGCCTCAGGCGGAAGGGGTAAAGCTGGAGGCTACAAAGGGAGAGAAAGAGAATTTGAGTAAAAGAGACATTCTGTGTGTGAGAGACAGACTTTGTGACACAGACTGAGTGTGTGTGGCACAGAGATAGACAAGTGTGTGTTTCAGTGTGTAGTGACAGTGACTCTGTGTGTGTGGCACAGAGACAGTATGGTACAGACTGGATATGTGTGTGACAGTGACGCAGAGTCCATGTGCCAGCAGTCTGAGAGAAGCCAAGTGCTTTCTGTTTAAGACAGGGAAAGCTGTCATGTTCTGTTGTCTCCACTCCCCTCTCCCTGTGTGTGAGAGAGGCAGAGAGACAGAAAGCAGGAACACTGAAATCTTAGAAACAGTGCACTGTCTTTTAAGACGGGCATTTCTCTGAATCATAGGGATGTCATTGACTAGTCGAATTAATGCTTTTTGGATAGTGGACACATTAGTCCACTAGTCGCTTTCCCCCTCTTGCTGCCTCTATCAGAAAGAGGCAGCAAGGGAGGAATAGTCACTTTCCCCTCCTTGCTGCCTATCAGAAAGAGGCAGCAAGGGAGAGAGAAAAAAAGATGGGGGGTGTTTCAAAGTGGCAGCGCTGTGTGGAGCCCGGGGCCAGACCCTGGGTTTCACACGCTGCCACCTTGAAACGCCGTGTGCAGTCCAGGGCTGGCATTTCAAAGCAGCAGCACCATGTAGAGCCCAGAGTCTAACTCTCTGAAATGCCATGCACATCCTGGAGTCCCCAGCTAGCCCAGGGCTGCACGTGGTGTTACAAAAACTGTCTGACACAGGGCTCCCCTGGCAGTTCAAACCAGCAGCATCGCATGGAACCAGGGGTGTATTGGAAGTAGTTGCTTACATCCCTAGTACGTACAGACAAGCAGGTAAACAAAACAGCCAGGGAGCAACTGGGCAGCCATCCTGAAGCAGCTGGGCAGCTATGTGGCCTTGATCCCACTCCTAGGGTTTCCAGGTGTGTGATTTTGAGCCGGACAACCCAGTATTTGTGCTTTCTGTCAGGGAAACAAATTGAGAAAATACCGTACATATACATATCCAGTATTTTCTAATTAAATAATTGGTGGTGGCTGGAGTCTGCAGGAGAGGCCCGGGAAGCATCATCTCCCCCAGCCCAGGTACCCCAGCTCTGTAAGGCGGAGGCAGAGAACGCCATGCTCTCGTCTCCCTGCCGCTCCCGGGCCTGGGACCCCGCAGTCAAGCCCACTGCCACAGGACACCACCTGCCTCTCCGCACTGCCCAGGCTGTTCCTGCCGCGCGAGTCTAGTGGGCCTCCAGCGAGGCAACCATTAGAACCAGCAGCCTCCCCCTCGGCTTCTCAGTCCCTCCCTGCTCCATACACGCCGCACTCGCAGCTGAGAAGCCGCAGAGCCTGGCTGGCAGGGCTCTGCTCTCCTCCCTGCCCCCTCTCTCCCGGCCCCCTGCTGCTGGGGCCCTGGCAGGTCTGGGATGCGTGGTTACTAAGGCAACCTCCAGGCCTGGCTGCAGCTACCAGAAGGCTGCACTGACTGTCCCACAGCAAGAGAGTGAGGGGGGCTCCCTTCTTCCCCCAGGTAGGTACCTCCTGCCCACAGGAGGGGGAGGCAGACACCTAGCTGGGGGAAGGCGCTGAGAGGATCCCTGCCTGAAATCCCAGCCCTCCGAGGAGGATTCCCTGGGATTGTCCTCAATACACTTCCCATATCGTGTATATTTTTGGTAGACAATTTTGTATCAAGTGTGTCCAGTAGTTTTGTTGAAACCATCCACAACCCGACCCCACAGCATTTGGGCAGCTACAGGGCCCTGACTCCGCTCCCATCCCTGGAGCACCCAGGCACAGGCGCTGCAGCCTCAGCCTTGCTGGTTGACTGGAGCATGGGCAGGATCACCCAGTGTTTCAGGAAGGCAATGTGGGTACGTCTACACTACAGCGCTAATTCGAACTAACGCGTCTAGAACTAAAAACTAGTTCGAATTAGCGTTTTGCTAATTCGAACTAGCAAGTCCACATTGAGTGGACTCTGAACAGGGCTTAAGGATGGCCGGAAGCAGTGCCGGCAGGGCATCAGAGGAGGACTTAAAGCATGGAGATGCTGTCTCAGGCTAGCCGAGGGCTGCGCTTAAAGGGTCC